CTGGAGCAACCTTTCTGGGATCTCCTCTTCATGTGTAGAGGGGGTCTTCAGCCGGCTCGCGCCAGAGCGTGGTCATGAAAGAACTTTCTAAACATATCTAAACATTTCTATGCAGTAATTGTATGTCGGGTGAAGAAAAAAAACACAACAAAGGAGGAAATTTGCAAAGGCTTTAAAATATATGTATTTAGAGCTAATGTAAGCCCTCCTGGAAAACAATTTAGTTAGACCATTGATTAAAGAAAAATCACACTATTTCAAAGGCAGAAGCAGAGACACGAGCTTGGTGCAGAGCAGCCCCTCCAAGAAAGGGGCACAGGGTAGTGACATCGATCATTTTTGTCTATAGACACGTAGCCAAAGAGGGTGGAAGACCACATGGACAATGGGCTCAGTCCAGAATCCAGAACTAGAAATACTCCAGCTTGTCATGCCTGGTCTTGTTGGTCTGGTAGCTGTGCAAGGCCAAGGGCTTGTTTTCATGTGGGAGACTTTCATACACTCGAAGGTGTACGAAGTCATTGTTTCCAACTTGAACCTGCAAAGAGAGTCGAGTGAGGAAGAGATGCAGGTGCTGCCTCTGACCTCAAGTCCCCAGACTCGCCTGGACTGGGTGAGAAAGCCCCTGGGTGTGTGGAAGCCAAGTCCCTTACAGCATCTGCACCTAAGTTGGTGACACTCCCATCTTCCTCCCTTGGACATAGCAGACGCCCATCGCCCCAACCAGCACCCTTGGCACCCCACGTTTGCCCCTTGAGAGCTCTTAGTTGCCTGAAGGCTCAGTCCCCTTTTTCACCAAGGCCTGCATGGGTGCACACACATCATCATTTTAAAGAGGACAGATACCCTGAAGCCGGGGACTGCCACAGGACCCCTTTAACACCCCTGTCCTAGCACCTACACGCCCCTCCTCCACTCAGGTCTTGGAGGTACATCCATGTAGCTGGTACTCCACCTTGATGAAGTAGTTCGTCCCAGCGACCACCTGGCTCTGGTACTCCACAGCCTTAAACATGGTGTACTTCTTGTTTTCCTTCTCCTCCAGCTGGCACTTGACCTGGGGAATGAGCCAGAAGGAGAAACTCAGAGGCCTCCTTCTTGCAAGAGTAAGTGCCTGACACATGAGCTTCTGTCTGAGGCTCCCGCATTTGTAGATGACATCTGAGGATGCCCTGCCTGTGGGCAGAGGCTTATGCTAATCCTAAACCTCAAACAGGAATCAATCATATGTTTGGTTCAATCCTGTCTCCCAGGATCTTGCCCTCTTGTAACTGGGCATCTTTATGGAGGAAGGAGAAAGCAGGCTTGGTTTTTAAATGGACTTTTTCTTCATTTAAAATCTAATCTGCTATCTAGATTAATTAGTAGGCACAGGAGCAGTTGGCTTTGGCGGTAGTGGCTATTAGTTCTAGAGGGTTAGAGGATTTTAGTCAAGGCAGCCACAGGAAGCAGGTTAGTTGCTGGGAGCCAAGAGAGATCACCCTCATCCACAAGCTGATGAGTCACTGTGGCCACCCTGCACCTTCAGGGAGGGGCCCACCCCAGGGATGAGAATGGGAAGGAGAATGCACTCAGGGCAGCTCAGGGTGGGAGGGAGGGTCAGGTAGGAACAGGGCAGGCCCGTCCCACCCTTCTGAAGCCTTGGGAAAGCAGAACAGTAAGGAAGAGCTGGGCTCTGTGAGCAGTGTGGGCCCTGTGAGCAGTGTGGGGAAGACACCTCCATCCGAGCTGGCTGGCTCACCATGCAGTCCCTGCAAATTTCTGTTCCTTCTAGTTTCATGGGACTGACTCACCAGCCTGTGCTATGGTCAGATGGTCTAAACCACCAGGGTAAAGAACAGGAGCTTGTAGCATTCCCTCAGGTTATAGGAGGGAAAAGCAGGGGAGGAGACTTACAGGAGAAAGAGGTTTGTTTTGCTTTTCTTCTTCTCCCCAAGCCTTCCTGTGGCCCTACCATTCCCCCTTCCCCAGAACCTTGTGTGAAAGCACCTTAGTGATGCCCTCTTTACACATAAGAAAACTGAGGCACAGGAATCAAGCAGTGCCTGGTTTCTCTTTTTGTGAAAATGCATAGTTGGAGTTAGTTTCAAACATACAGAAGGACTGTAAGTTAGGATACCCTTCCCCAGGTTCACTGACTGTCACCTTCCACCCCACCTGCTCTATCTCCTGGTCTGTGCTTTTTCCTTAACCACGTGAGGGCCAACATGCCAGGACCCTCATTATGAGCGCTTTATTGACCTCTTCCCAGAAGGTGAGGCCCTTCTGTCCCTGTCCCAGCCTTGCCCCGCTGGCCATGTCCAAAGTGTGGGCATTTCAGCCACGATCTCCACGTCCTGGTGGCAGCTTTCATGCTGCGGACAGCACCAGATGGACCCTGGGCTCGGTCGGACCCAGCCCACCTACCTGGTCAGCAATGGCCTGGATCTCAGCTGTGGCGGGCTTGGTTTCGGAGGCCCCACCAGCCATCGTCCCTTTACAACTCATGGTGGATCAGTGGGCAGAAGGAAACAGCAATCACGAAACAGTGCAGGGCAGGTGTAGCTGGTGGTGGGTACAACCATCTGCCTTAAATCCACCAGGTCACATGATGGGAGGGCCGGACCACGGGAAGGCAGGACCACGAGAGGGCTCCTTAGTGGGAGAGGTTGGGTGGGGCAAAACAGGTGAGGGGCGGGGGCACTTCCATTCTTCCCTTAATTACCTGAAAGCATTTAGATAGGGAGCCTGGTTCAGAGAGAGAGCAATATATGTATATAAAAACACATATATATGTAATATATATATATATATATTTTTTTTTTTTTTGAACCTGAGACTCACCTACAGAGTCGGGTTGACACGTCTGACTATCAAACACCCGTCTTCCCATCTTCCATTGATTAGCTTTCCTCTTACCAGACCTGAATCGGGCCCTCAGCTCTGGATGGTTACACACCTGAGCTGCCAGACAGCCTTTGGATCTCATATCTTTAAGGGGCTCCATACGCATGAAATTAAATTTGTTTTTCTCCTGTTATCTGTTCCATTTCAAGTTACTTAATAAACCAGTCAAAGAACTTAGGCAGAAAGAAGGGGGAATTTTATCTCAACCATAGCCCTGCAGGGAAAGGAGAGGTAGCCCTGCTTGAAAGGGTGTGGCCCTGCAGGGGACTCACTAACTCTTCTGTACCCACCAATGTAAAAGGACTGTGTGTTTGTCCACTTTGCTCCCTAGGCCCCAGGTGGGGCGGAAATGGGTTCCGCACAGGAGGGGGGGGGGTTTGTTCTGGTGCTGAGATGGGCATGGCCCTGCAGGGTAAATTGGGATCATAGCTTTAAGCCGGGTGGGTTGGCTTTTAGAGGAGATCAGGGATCACCCCATAGGTGGGTTGGTAGGGATGGGGGTGGGGGTGGGCCCTGGAGAAGCCCTTGAGTGGCCCTGTCCACATGGGTAACAGATTACCTGGGTGGGGGGGACCCAGGGACAAGTGGGAGCTGAACCAGAGAGCCAGAGAGGACAGAAGAGAGAGAAGCCTGTGCTCAGTGGGCACCAGGAGTAGCCAAGGGAAAGGAACAGGAGCCACCAGGGCGTCCTAGAGTCTAGGATCGGTTTCTGCCTGATCTTCTTCCCAAGTGCATTGGAGGGCCCTGTACCCCTCGTCTGCAAGGCCCAGCCAGCGGCCCCCCTTGTGCCATCCACTCTGGATGTCACCACTGAGTGACCCAGGGACACAGCAAAGGGCTGACATGGGTGAATGGAGGAGGCAGCATGGAGTCCAGTGATGAGATGACTCTGAGTGCCTCAGGCTGGGTGGGAGTGGACTCCAGCTGCACCCTCTTCCCCCGCTCCAGGGCCTCACCCAGGGGAGGCTGGGCACCTCCCCACTCAGGTGCTGGCTGCCAGACAGGCCCAGTCCTGCCTCCTGGAGGCTCCACTGCAGAGCCCCAGGGGGAGTGGCCCATGAGCAGGTGTGGGGGGGAGGCAAGCGTTTCAGGTTCCTGCCACAGAAGAGCCTGGTGTGTGACCTTAGGGAAGGATGGGAGGCCAGATGTGGTGGAACCCTGGGGAGAAGGGAAGGAAAGCCCCCCAACAATTCATATATAAGTAAATGAATGAATGTAGCACAGAAAAGGGACTACATAGCAGACCCAACAAGCTCATGGGACTACAAGGCAGGCCCGAAAAATTAATTTCTGAAAGGATCCACACAGGGTGATCTGATGTGAATCCCTGGCTGGGCAGGTGGTGGTGAGTAATCACGTTATAGGCATATGCTTCCTTAGCAAAGGTCAATCTTTACCTTCAGTAAGCCCTGCCCATTGTTCTTATGCATCCAGGGTAACATACCTTCAAAAAGTCAGAGTAGCTTCCTTTTCCAGGCCCTTTGTGGACATAATCAGAGTGGCAACGGTGGATGACCTGGAAGCCTGTCACCTTGCTGCCCACACACCGTCTCTATTCACTGTACATGTTCCATGTTAACTGTCCTGCACCCACTGATGTGCAAGAAGAATGTCTCTCCATTTTGTTCCCTCCCACGTGTTGCCACAGGTCCTTGTTGGGGAGTTCAGCATGGCCTCTGTGACTCCACCTGGAGAGGTTGGTGGACACTTCCTCCTGGTGTCCCCTGGGATCTCTCCCTGTGCCTTTTTCCTGTGCTGAGTGTGCTGTGTATCCTTTTGCCCAAACAGCTCAGAGCCCTGCATCCTCGTGGCCTAGCAGGTCATGGAGCCTGGGCTTGGAGTTCCCTGACGTGTGGTCCTTTACAGAAAAAGTCTGCTGAGTCCATTCTGCATAAACATAAACACCAATATGGACACACCTAAGAAAATAAGCAATTATTCTGCACTGTACTCTACAGCGACTCACAATTGTGTTGTTTTCTGGTGAGATTCCTTTGCTCATGAAGGGAAGAGCCATAGTATAGAAATCTCGGGGTACAGGAGCCATCAGGGCTGGTTGCAGTCCATGACCAGAGCCCTCCCCTCACCTCTGAGCTGTAGCCCCCTGTGACCACATGGTGCTCCTGGCAGGCAGACATGACCAGCTGGGCACCAGCACCAGCCGGCCGCCGATGGTGGACAGCAGGCATCCTTCCAACTGGCGGCACTTCTCTGAAACCAGGGGCTGAAGTTGAACTTGACCACCAAGCCCTGTCCTTCAGGAAGCCTGTGTTCAGAAGTCCCTGTTGATTCCACTCCCTGTGGGATCTTTAAAAACGCTTCCCCGAGAACTGGCTCTCGTGCCGTGCAGCCCGCCCACTTCGAGCCCACCAGGCTGTGCTTCTCGGTGTGTTTGGAGCTGTGTGACCGCCACCGCAGTCGACCGAGAACACGTTCACCCCAGGAGACGTTTTTAGCTGTTGTCCTCCCTGCCCTGGTCACCACTCATCTTTCTGTCTCAGGTCCCCTGACAGGACTGTAGAACAATTGGGGTCCTGCAGCGAAGGGGGGGGTCACGTCTGGCCGCTTTCCCTGAGCACGAGTTCAGCGTTCACGTTGCAGCACGGGTCAGAACCACTCCTTTCATGCCTGGGTGACATTCCAACATGGGCATGGGCCATGTGTTTATTTGTCCATGGGGGTTGTCCCCTACTGCCTCCCCACCCTGGTTCCTGGGACTAAAACTGCTGTGAGCACAGGGTTCTGAGGGGGCTTGCCTGCTGTTCGCCGAGGATCTAGGAGTGGTGGCTGTGTTTGAGTTTTGGTTTTCTTTTTAGAATTTTGAAGGTTTATTTTAGGGAAGGAGGGAGAGTAAGAAACATCAATGTGTGGTTGTTTTTGGACTGCCCCCTACTTAGGACCTGGCCCATAAACCAAGTATATGCTCTGACTGGGAGTTGAACCAACGACCCTTTGGTTTGCAGGCTGGTGCTCAGTCCACTGAGCTGCACCTGCCAAGGCTGGTGTTTAACTTTGAAGAGCTGCCAGACTGTCAGTGGCCAGAAGATCCAGAGCCAGGATGAAGCCTTAGCGGTAAGGAGACCTTCCAGGCCCTGGTGAGGGACTAGAGGTGCTGATCACAGTGGGGAGGGGACAGCCACATGCTCATGGAGGTGGGAGACAGGCACCCTCAGCGGCCATAATACCAGACTCTGGTCGGCTGCCTGGAGGGCTGGGGGATGCACTGCAAATTTCCCTTTGGCCACCTGGTTGGTCCCTTGCAGCTTCGTGCTCTGTCAGGTCTGGTGAACCCGCTGCCTGCTCTGCTTGTCACAGCAGCCCCTGTCTGAGCTAACTGGGGTGGCCGGGACAGAGTGTCAGGGAGGGAGCCCTCCTTCTTGGAGGGTCCCCGAGCCAGATGACTGTGGGGCAGGAAAGAAACAGTCCAGGGGGACAAGCACCCCTGGTTATGAGAAGGACAGGAGACTCACATATTCTACCCCCACAATGCCAGCCCCAGAGTTGGTGCTGGGCAGCTGGCCTGCTGACGTGTGCATGCGTGTTTGTGGGTGTGCACGTGCATGGTGAGGAACCCTCCTGTGAAAGCCCACACCTGGCCGGAGAGTACAGGGCAGCCCCGTGCAGCATCACAGGCACCCTCCACACAGCCCACAAGGAAGGTGGGCCCTCCTGCAGCCCTTCTGAGAGGTCGGGCCCTGGTTGCTGCAGGACTCCCAGCCCGAAGCCCTGGGCTGACAGGGGAGGGACAAGGCTTCCACACTGGGCCTTGGGTGAGCAGGCTCCTAGGCCAAGGGTCTGAGACTGGGAGACCGCGTTAGTGCTCTGGCACCAGAAATTCCGAATGTGTGTGCACGATTCAGGGCCCGTGTAGGAGCCTTCCCTATGGTGGTGGGGGTCCTGGTGGCTTAGGGCACTGGTGCTGGTTCTGTGGGAGGCTGACAATGGGCCCATTGCCTGCCACTGGGCCCTTCCACTTCCCACCCCAGCTGTGTCCAAGCCTGGCCCCCTGCTCTGGTTCAGCTGGCACTTTCCCAAGGCCTGACTTGTCCTCAGTGGGTATTCTGCCACAAGGCATTGTGCTCTGGAGGGCAAGGAGCTCCCAGCTCCCAGCAACTTACTGGGCACATGGCAGCAGGTGTTTGTTGAATGAATAAGTGAGTGAGTGAGTGGCTTCCCAGAGTGGACCTGTGCTGGGAGCTGTTGTGGCTTGGAGTTTGCTCTGTTTGGGGCCAGATGAGGAAGGATGGTAGGCCCAGTCTGGTTGGCACCTCTATCCAGAATATGGGCACCCATAGTGTGCAGATCGGGGTGGTGAATATGTACCTTCATACTTCAAGCCAGAGAGAATGGGGAGAGTGGCTTTCACCTGGCAAAACTCTCACTGGGAAAGCTGTAACTGAACAGGATGGGGCGGGTCCGGGGCTGGCTCCAGGTTCTCTGTCAACTCCTTCCCCAATTAGGCCAGACCCCGTGAGAGTGCATGAGGGGTGTGAGTGGTGGCCCTACCTGCCTGTTCTGGGTAACAGGGTGGGGGGCACGAATGACGGCCTGGACCTTCACAGGTGACTCAGGAATGGCTGATGTGCTCACTGTGCCTGGCAGGTGATGGACGTGTTACATTCAATGGGCCCAGAAACTGTGGTCATCACCAGCTCCAACCTGCCCTCCCCAAGGGGCAGTGACTACCTGATCGCGCTGGGAAGCCAGAGGATCAATGAGTCCCTTGCCCGCCCCGCCCTGGCACTGAGCTCCTTCCCGCCTTTCCCCTCCATGCCCTGCAGCCTTCTGAGAAGGCTTGGGGATTAGGAGGAAGAAAACCATGCCTTACTCAGCAGGGAGTCTCTTTCCTTCACTGCTGTCACTCCCTGCCCTGCCCTGTCCTGTCCTGAGGAAGGGGAGGTGGAAAGCAGGATGGGGGAGGGTTTCCACCAGCAGGGCCACAGTGGAGCTTGGGGTGCGGACACCTCCCCCACAGTCAACCAGCACCCTGCTGGGGCCAGTCAGCCAGGGAACCAGGTGTCCACAAGCCTGGCCCCCACAGAGCAGGGACTGGTGCTGACCTCACAGGACGATGCGGGGTGGGGGAGGTAAAGGGGGGCACATGGAGCTCCTGGGTTCTCATCTCCCCCAGGAGCACCGCCTGGGTTGGTGCTTTGTGCCCTGCCTCAGACTGACTCAGGAGGCTGGGGTCACACTCCTGCCCCAGGGGGCAGCTCCACAGGCACCTTCTCACTGCTCCCTGTCGTCTCTGTGCAGGAGCACACATGCACACCCACCCTTACACACTCACACGTACATTGTGATCCATACCGAGGGTGCACTTGCACACACACACACACTCCTGTCCTTGCTCACTCACCTACACTCACTTCAGTGAGTTCACACAGTCCCTTCAGCTCTAGTCGCTATGGTTGCCCAGGCTCCCTCATAGGACCAGGTGAGCTGGTCCTCTGTCAGCCGCACAGTGTCCCCCAGGTTGTCTTGACTGTAGCCGCCAGGGATGCTCCTGGTCTTTCCCTTTCTCCCCCGGGACAGAGAAGTCACTGTGGGGCATTGGGAGCACCCAGCCGGCCCTGAGCCTTGGGTTCTGTTCAGGAGAGCCACCACGGGTGACATTACCCACCACACACAGTTCAGGGGACAAGTGGGGAGGAGGGCAGGCGCGGGCCCAGGCTGGGTTGGCCGTCTGTGGTGAGCATCTGGGGCCCCAGTGTGCCATGCTCTCTCCAGGGCACACTGACGGCTCCGTGGTGACCACACGCATCTCCTTCGACATTCAGAAGGTAGATGCCTACTTCATGGGGACCAGGGACCTCTTTGCTGCCATGCTCCTGGCATGGATACACAAGCACCCCAACAACCTCAAGGTCAGCAGGGTGTGTGGCCACTCCCCCGCAGCAGTTGATCTGTTCATCTCTTTGAGGAGTGGTTACCATGCCCAGTGGGCTGGAGGGGGAAAGGGGTGACCATGAGCTTACACACATGTGGCCCTGGGCAGGCAGTGGTTCTGTGTCATGTCCCACATCTGGGTGGAATCGCAGCCCCTCCCTATGATTCATGAGCAGGGGGCCTGACCTGGCACAGGGAGTCCAGCACTGAAATCTGGGTTCTCACTCAGGACTGAGGTGCTGCAGCCTCAGCTACGGGAGCCTCTTCCGCCACAGCGGTCCCTCGGAGCCCATCCTCAAATATAGTCACTGAGCTGAGGAGTAAATCTGGGTGCTATGTCCCTCCTGTTTGTCCCGCAGTCCAGCTCAGGACTCAGGGCTGGTTCTTTGACCTTCTGTGCTGTGTGTATTTTGCAGTGTCTTATGAAGTCGTTCTGTGTGACGCCTGGTCGGCTCACAGCCTTGTCTGTCCTCTGTGAACCTCCTAGACATGTCGGGCAGGTGAGACCTGCCATCTCTGAATGTGGGAAGGGCAGTTGCAGGTGCAGGGGGCTGGTAGGAGACAGGAGACAGGGCTCTGTCTGGTTCAGGTGATGGCCGAGACAGCACCTGCCTGACTCAGCCCAGATGGCACTCTGGCTGGCAGCTGGGGGCAGCACAGGGGTCAGAGGAGCCTGAGTGTGGCGGTCCCCCTCCCTGCAGGTGGCCTGTGAGAAGACGGTGTCGGCCATGCACCATGTTCTGCAGCGGACCATCACATGTGCTCAAGGTACCGCTGGCAGGGCCCCTGGGTGCCTTTGCGCTACTGAGAGCCTCCTGCATCTGGGGCCTTGGGCGGAGAGGGGGAGGGAGGCAGCACCCGCTTCGCCGTGGTGGCGTATGATTGATTCTGGTGTGACTGGGGTCCCTCTGGCTCCCTCTGTCCCCCTGACCTTGGCCTTTAGGCATGGGGTCTGTGGGCCTACTTTGCCTGTGATACTAATGCTTTGTCTGCTCCATAGCCCAGGCTGGGGAAGGACAGAAGCCCAGCCCAGCCCAGCTGGAGCTGAGAATGGTCCAGAGCAAAAGGGACATCGAGAACCCAGAGATCGTTGTCCAGGCCACGGTGCTGTGAGGGCCGCACGTTCCAGCCACCTGACCCACAGTGTGTTGGCGTGTCCGTCTTCATCCCGTGAAAAATGTGACGTCTGCCTTAGAGCTGTGACTGAGAGTCATTGTTTCGTTTTTTTGTGAGTGTCCAGCATCTACTGCTCTCAATCATGAAATCGTGCCAGTCATGCTTTTTAAAAATAACAAAGTGACCACAGAAATTCATGATTTGGAAAACCAGCTGCCCTTCCCCACTAAAGCTCCTGGGCCTCTCTGGAAAACCAGCTCTGTGACCACTGTCTTGGGGGCGTCCTCCCCAGCTGGAGGGTGGCACTTGGTGTGAGGGGCAGCTGCCCCCAGAGAGTCACATCAGCTCCCACCATTGCATGACCCCCTGACCAATGTGGGCCTGGGAGGTGGGGGCAGGTCCCAGGTGGTGGCAGCCCTGTCTGTGTGTCTCTGGGAATGAGTTCAGTGTTATCCATTCACATCTGGAGGAATTCTGCCAAATAATTGTGTTGTCATTTTGGCATTTTCTCTCGGCCCCCTCTTCCAGACTTTTGTTTCTTTGCTGCTTAGGAGGCCACTGGGCATTTCAGATGTTCTGCTTCTGTATCCACATCTGGACAGGTTAACACCAGCTGGCCCAGAGACACACAGGCCTGCACAGTCAGTTTGGCAGGGACATTTCCAGGACCCCCAAAATTCAAGTCACTGCACAAATCTCACGAGTATCAGCAGGACCACCCTGTAATGCACAAGTGACTCTAGGGACCTGCCAGGTGCCGAGGTGCAGACACACCAGCAGAAGGATGGCTGGCCCAGGGCCAGGGTGTCTGGTTAGGTGCCATGCTGGGCTTCTTCTGGAAGGCTGGCCTAGTTTGTGGCACAACAGCTTAGGAACTGTGTTACTGCCACCTGCTGTTGGTGACATGCCTTGTGCTACAGAGTGAGTGTACAGACAGGTACGGGGGCGGAGGTGGTCTCCTGCTCCCACTGGTGGCTCATTTCCCCTCCAGGCCCTGATAGTAGTGCAGTTGTCTGCTGCCTGCTTGACCTGCTTGGCTGGCTCCATTAGCCCAGGACTTTGGGGTACCCGAGGCATGGCTGCAGGCAGGAGCGTCCATCCTGAAGACTCAGCCTGCTTGGTCTCAGAACCCTGCCCCCACCCTGGGGGTGCAGAGCATTGCCCCTCCTGGGAGCCCGCACATCTGAGTGGTGCATTCTGCACTCTGTAGAAAATGCCCTAAAAAGAAGAGCTGCCACTCCCTGGTGACCCCCTGGCCCTGAGCCCCACCACTCACTTATGAATGTCCATACTCAGAGCCGAGGTGCTCTCCAGGGCCTGTATATTGGTCAGGCCATCTGTGATGCCCAGGCCCCACTGAGCCCCAGGGCAGAGCCTGGCCCCTTGGTGGCTGCAGGCCCCCCTGGATCAGGAGGAGGAAGGAGTGGCCCGCAGCACAGCAGGGGGCTGGCTTCCCAACAGTTGTCCATAGGAACCACCCAAAGTCCCCCTGGGCCCTGGGCTGGGCAGCACCTGGAATGGAAACTATCGCCACTGCCGAGAAGAGCTGGGGGCTGGCCAAAGAGAAAAGGTTTCTCATTCTTTTTATTTTATTTTATTTTATTTTATTTTATTTTATTTTATTTTATTTTATTTTATTTTATTTTATTTTATTTATTTTTTATTCTATTCTATTCTATTCTATTCTATTCTATTCTATTCTATCTTATTTTATTTTCAACTTGGAGAGGATGTTTATTCAAGCTGAGACAGTGAACCAAGCAAGAGTTTAGGAGACAAGAAGCAACAGGTGAGAGCCTAGGCCGGGCTGCTTGGGCTCCCTGGAAGGTGTGGACAGGAACTGAGCCGAGATGGGGCCATTGCAGCTCACTTGAAAGTCAGTGATGGGGAGCCCTCAGGGGCCAGTTCAAGGGGAAGCCTGGGATGCGCTGCCGCTGCCCCATTGCTCCCCTGGTTGTGAGTCTCATGGGGCTCCTTAGAGTTTAGGAGCTGCACGTCTGCTGGGGAAGAAGATGAAGAAGGAAAGGCACTGGGGTGCTCCAGGGGGAAGCGCCTTCTTTTTTAATTTTAATAGCAAGAGCAAGTATAGGGCTGGGGAAAGGACCCAAATGTATCTGTGATCCATGAGATGGCGAAAACCCACATGGAAAACACAGTTTGGGTATTGGGCTTGTTCCATGTGGACAGGGAATTTGAAGAGTAACATATTCCTCAAACACTATGAGATTCTTGGCTCTTTAGTTTTATTTCAGAAGTGTGGCCCCCTTGAATTTCCATTTTGTTACTTGCCTGTATTTATACACAGAATGATGAGACTTTTCCCACCCACAAACTTTAGTGTGAACCAGGAACTCAGGCTGCACCTGGACTTTTCCATGCCCTTTGGTTATAAAGCTTTCCATGCCCTTTGGTTATAAAGCTCCCAAGCTAGGCAAATTATTAAAGAATGCCCTGACTGCCAAGCCCTTACTAAGACATCTCCATCCATGGGAGTTAACCCTCGAGGACCTAGTTCTCAAATGATTTGGCAAACAGATGTCACTCATTATTCTCCCTTTAGAAAATTCAAATACATTCATATTTCTATTGGTACTTATTCTAGTGCCCTACATGCATCTTCATAAACAAGAGAATCTGCTAAAAATATACAAGCCCATTGGCTTGAAGCCTTCAGTCATTTAGGACGACCTCAGCAAATTAAAACTGATGATGGCCCAAGATATCTTGCTCGCTCTACTCAAGCCTTCCTTCAGCATTAGAATATCCAACATAAAACAGGAATATCTTATAATCCAACCAGTCAGGCAATTGTTGAACAGGCTCATCATTGCCGCAGACCAGCCGCAGCTGGGTCCAGGGATTCCCAAAGGTGGGTAAGGCGTTGGCGATGGGTAACAGATGACAACACGCCTCAAAGGACAGTGAAGCTCTGTTCCGTTTATTGCAAGTACAAGCAGGTTTTTATATTTTCATTTTAGGTAGTGATTAACATTTGCAGTATAGCATGATCAGTTAAACAGAAAAAAATCAATACAAAGGTAAACAGGAAAAATATGAAAGTTCCCATAGATTCAGTTATAATAAACAAAGATTAGTTTGAACAGGAGAGCTATTAATCAGACAGTTAGAAATAGCTGTATGTACAGAATTTAAATGTCTTAATTGTATATTAAAGTTTCTCGGAGTTTATCATGGGGCAAAAGGATATGCTAGATTGAGTAGAGGTAATAGGAAATTTATTATAAGGCCTTTGTGATGTCTAATTTAGCTACCTATCCTTTTCTGTCTAAAATGTTTCTCTGTGTACTATAAACTGACTCTCTAGTAACTGTTTCTACATGTTTAGTTTGTAATAGTTAACCAGCCCTTTTAAAATTTCTTTGCCTGTCTAATTGATATATATTCTTTTTTTCCAACAATTTTTAAAATTTTTATTTAATTATTTTTCAAGTACAGTTTTCTGTCTATTTCTCCCATCCCAGCCCAACCCCCCCCCCGTGCTCCCCACCTCCCTCCCATTTCCACCCCCCTTAGTTCTTGTCCTTGTGTCCTTCATACTTGTTCCTCCAAATCCCTCCCCTTTTTCCCCCTTAAATTCCCTTCCCTGTCCCCTCTGGTCACTGCCCACTTGTTCTCTATTTCAGTGTCTTTGTTTTTATTCTGCTTGCTTGTTTGTTTTGTTGTTTAGCTTCCTGTTAAAGGTGAGATCATATGGTATTTGTCTTTCAACACCTGGCCTATTTCACTCAGCATAATGCTTTCCAGTTCCATCCATGTTGTTGCAAAGGGTAGTAGCTCCTTCTTTCTCTCTGCTGCATAGAATTTCATTGTGTATATGTACCACAATTTTTCGATCCATTCATTTATTGACGGGCACCTAGGTTGCTTCCAACTCTTGGCTATTGTAGATTGTGCTGCTATGAACATTGTGGCGCATAGGTTCTTTGAAATTGATGTTTTAGGATTCTTAGGATATAATCCTAGCAGTGGAATTGCTGGGTCAAAAGGCAGGTCGATTTTTATTTTTCTGAGAAAATTCCATACTGTTTTCCATAATGGTTGTACCAGTCTGCAATCCCACCAACAGTGAACTAGGGTCCCCTTTTCCCCACAACCTCTTCCACATTTGTTGTTTGTTGCTTTGTTTATGATAGCCATCCTGACTGGTGTAAAGTGGTATCTCATTGTGGTTTTAATTTGCATCTCTCTGATGGCTAGCGATATTGAGCATCTTTTCATGTGTCTTGATATATATTCTTATTCAAGGTAAAGGAGGGACTGTTACTCCAACAACTTTTAAACATTCAGGGACTATTTCATTAGAGGGAACTTTGTTCTCTGGTCAAGAAATTATTTTGTACAACTTCATAGGAATTATACGAATCAATGAACCTGAAATATAAGTGTCTAACAATCCCACCACCTTTTGATTATCAAAACAAACATGTAAGGAGAGATAGACAGGAAATCTAGCCACAGTTGCCTCTGCCTTGCAGATGCATCTCAACTGTCACGACCGTATCCCTGGGCTGTGGGTAGGGGTCCATATAGTTTTTACTTGTCTTCTTGGAAGACCCTTTGTATCTGTGGGTGAGGAACAGTCGTGGGAAAGTCTTTCTGATCTGTTCTTCCCTCAACTGTTGGCGGCACAACCTGTGTTTGCAACAATAACCTGGTTCTTTATTAACTGGCCTTAACTGTTGATTTAAGACATCTAACTTGTTTTTCTTATTTCTGGTACATCATGACAGTCCTGATCGCTTTAAGTTGCTCAAACCAGGGTAATTTATACAACTTGACATGTTTTCCCTTATGGTTAACAATTATATTACCCTGGCTGTCGTACTCCCCTGTATAAGGGAGAGGGGAATCTGTGGAGATTTTTCCATCCTTTCAGGCAGTTCCGTGGGGAATACTAATGTTTTCCCCTGAACTGTTCCCTCCTCTTGGGTGATTTTCACAGGAATAAGTAAGTACAGTACAATGTCCATACTCAGTAGCAAGAGTAAAATAATTAAAATAAAATAGCCAATTGTTAACCCATTTTGGATGCCACGTTCTCCTCTGGGGAGACGAATTC